AGGATGCAAGACCTACTCAAATCCCTGAGGGCACTATAATATAAACTGTCCACAAGTACCTTGAAGCTCTGGAATAGAGACCTCCAGCTCTTCTAGTTAAATCTTCCAGAGAAAAGAGCTCATATTCCTTGTATCTTGTTGCCCTCCAAGACCTCTGACGAGCATTGATAGCATTTACAAAGTCAAAGTTGTGCACATAACGTCTGCTTGAAGGTCTGCAAACAAAAGCAATCCAATAAAACAGTAAGAAAAGGGCTGGTATTAAAAAGTAAAGGTGTTCCCTAAACTGAGTATGGAAAATACTAACTCTGGAATTATCTTCTGGTAGGTACTAAAAAAGTAACATGCAATTACTGGATCAAGGCAAGGTTTCTGAAATTTGAGACAGACTGACTAGGATATAATAATCTTCTTTAGACATGCCTGTTTTGTAATTGGGCTTCACCAAAGACTGAAGGAGAAACGGTGTGATGTGATTGGCACACCCTCCTCTGTTTTGTGCATTCAGGTTTATTCCCAGCATTATCACTGGCATTAACTTTGTTCTCAGTAACACAATTGGTCCATATGGTTTTAGCTTGAAACCCAAAGTGCAGTTACCAGACATTTTATTCCAGTAAAAGGTCACTTATCTGTTGCTTACTTTCCCCTGGGCTTCTGGAGAGGTAGCTCATTTATGTGGACATCTGAGGGAGATGAAGAAATCTTCTGTCCACTGAAACAAGCCCAATTGTGTCCAAGTACATCGTGTACCCATCCCGGCAGAGTTTCGTTACAGTAGCTGGTTACATTCTGGCCTTCCTTTTTGTACTGTGAAGAGGTAAAGCTTGCGTTGAGTAGATGCATTTGTTAGCACAGCAGTAGTCCCTATCCACCAGCTGCCACTTGCCTGTGTTTCAGGTGAAGTGGCCAAACATATTCCAGATCAACTAGCATCATGTTTGATTTCAAAACAAAAAAACATCAAGAAAAGGTTAAGTAGATGAAAGAAACTGGTCTTTATCAGAGGAAGACAAGCACTTTGTGGCTTGTACTTTTAGCAACAAAGAACACATTAGCATCACTAACAACTAACAAGTGCTAATTGTCTGGGTTCAACAGTTACTTTCTAGGCAAAATGTAAGAGACCTCTTAGTACTTGTTTTTCTCAAGGCCCTGTGGTTTCTAGCACCTGATGTGACTAGTCAAACTAAGTCCAGACTGCTGCAAAAGTTTGACAAGCTAAGTCTCATGGCAACCTGAAATGTAAACAAAGGGAGGATGGCAAGTTTCTCACCCAGTAGCCTCTTACTGAGGAACTGTGCTATAGCATTTGTTTTAGAAGGCAGAAGCAAAGACAAGACATCCTGTAACTGCTTTAAGTTCGAGCTGTGGTGGAAGAGCATCAAGAAACAATTTCACCTGAACCATCAAAATGAGACAAAAAGAAACAATGATCCATCGAGAGCAATTCATTTGAAGTTGGCAGTGACGGTTACAAGTTCGACGCCTCAAGTTCAAAATCCTAGTACTTCCTTATTCAGCCACACAAGTCTTCATTTTACCACCAGAGTAATAAATTAATCTTAGTAAAATGTGTCTTCATACAGCAGTTAGCACTAACACTTTGCCCAGCTGCATAAATTTTCTGAATTAGGAATTATTCAACAGCAGAATGTCCCAGGGGAGGAAAAAAAAAAAGAAAAAAATTATTAATCTCTTAAAGTCTGTTTTGTATTAACCTACACAGAAGCCTGAAACCCCCCTGCAACAAAAGCTTTAACTTGACAAATCACTTAAGTGGAATCCAAATTTCCTAGTCCAAGAATACATTATTAAATCCCATCACAGAAGAGCTGCACATACAGAGATTTTGTAGGTATGTTTCAACAAAATACTTGCTCAGCCTCTTCACTGAAGAAGGCGGTGGCTTACAATGATGGAAACGCCTCAAAATGGAAAATACAGTAACTAAAGAAACTGGAAGATTTATGACTATATCAAGGCTCTGTGGGGAATCTGAAGGAGAACATATAGTGAAATAATTAAGCCATGCAATCAGAGTGATAAAATTCAAGGTTAGAAAATTAACTGATTTAGAACAATGGGAATTTGCTTTGTCTCCGGTTCAGAGGTGGCAGAGGCAACACATCTACACCCTTGTCTATCAAATCAAGCACATTTGCTCCCTGGAGCATGATGGGGGCACTTGAAGGATGAATGTAGTGTTACCCTGTCCTATAAATTCTGTCTGACTGCACAAGATGGTGCAATTTGGGAAATAACTACACTTGGCCAAATACCAAGGGCAAGGTCCAGAGATGACTTTGAGAAATACCCTTTTCACAACAGCATTGCTAGAAAACCAGATACTACCAAAACCAACAAGTTACTGACTTGACATCAGTAAGTTACTGTGAGAGTGCTTTATTAAAGTCTGTTTTGTATTAACCTACACAGAAGCCTGAAACCCCCAAGTTTCCAAGTCCAAGAATACATTATTAAATCCCATCACACTGCAACAAAAGCTTTAACTTGACAAATCACTTAAGTGGAATCCAAATTTCCTAGTCCAAGAATACATTATTAAATCCCATCACAGAAGAGCTGCACATACAGAGATTTTGTAGGTATGTTTCAACAAAATACTTGCTCAGCCTCTTCACTGAAGAAGGCGGTGGCTTACAATGATGGAAACGCCTCAAAATGGAAAATACAGTAACTAAAGAAACTGGAAGATTTATGACTATATCAAGGCTCTGTGGGGAATCTGAAGGAGAACATATAGTGAAATAATTAAGCCATGCAATCAGAGTGATAAAATTCAAGGTTAGAAAATTAACTGATTTAGAACAATGGGAATTTGCTTTGTCTCCGGTTCAGAGGTGGCAGAGGCAACACATCTACACCCTTGTCTATCAAATCAAGCACATTTGCTCCCTGGAGCATGATGGGGGCACTTGAAGGATGAATGTAGTGTTACCCTGTCCTATAAATTCTGTCTGACTGCACAAGATGGTGCAATTTGGGAAATAACTACACTTGGCCAAATACCAAGGGCAAGGTCCAGAGATGACTTTGAGAAATACCCTTTTCACAACAGCATTGCTAGAAAACCAGATACTACCAAAACCAACAAGTTACTGACTTGACATCAGTAAGTTACTGTGAGAGTGCTTTATTTGGCTCTACATGTTAGTGTAAATTAATACCCATCTGCCTTCTCTACCTAAAAGCTACCACAGATTAAAACAAGAACAAACACAGCTATTCTTAACAATTATATACCTTAAGTCTGAATACTTGAAGACTACTCAAGGAGAAGGCCTGCTTCCTGCAACAATCAAATGTATATCATGGAGAGTTATATTGAATCAAAACAAGTGGAACAGATCTGAGACTTACCTTAATAGGAAAAAGGCAATGGGCTAATGGGCTAATTTAATTCAAATGAAAACAACTTGAATTTTTTTTTTTTCTCCTCCTAGAAATCCCTCTCCTTTTTTCTGGAGATGAATTATTATTGCTTTTTTTAAGATTTAGTTAGATAAACAGAATAGTATTCACACCATTTTTGCAAATCAGATTTCTAGAAAGTGAATTCAGCAAGTTTCAAACATCAGCAAAACTAAGAAGAAGGTGATAGGACAGTCAGTGGCAAAGTTTCAAGATAAACAAGAGACAGAAACCAATTTCATCCAGGTTTTGTAGAAGCCTAAAATTAAGCAATTTAGGTCTTCTGTGAGTAACCTTTTTGACTTGCGGACTTTAAGCTACTCTTGAGCTTTATAAAAGGAACATGAAGACTTCAAGACCATAGCCTATCAGTGGCATCTGGATAAAGGGACTTTGAACTCCGAGACACATTTTCAGCTAGGAAATTAAAATATACCCATAAAGCTCCTATTTCACCCCATTTTCTCTTTTAATTGAGAGCCACTCATGTGGAGAAGTGGCAGAGGCACCTTCAAAAACCCAGTCTTATGCTTTATTCATACAAGCGAGTAAAGTCCCCAATGGGCCACATGTTAGAGGAACTTAAATGGGACAGCAAAGTCATTGGTGCTATCACAATGACACTCATTGCTTACTATTAGAATGTACACATCAAATCAGCATGTCACTGCTAAAACCATATGTGGCACTTCTTACTGCGACCAGAGAAGGGCTCTGACAGTTTAGGTCTAGTAAATCTGTACCAGTGTCAGAGGACCTACAAGTATGCCTGCCTGACCAACAGTTATACAGGGGCATGGCACCATTGCATGAACAATCACTGACTCATGCAGATGCAAATTACAATGCCAGATTCAACCAAAGCCACCACCACAGTACTCAGCCTATGTGCAGAACTCCTCATAGAACAGCATGGAGAACAACTGCCACACAGCTGTGACCACCAGCAACTGCTGAACAACTGCTGCATGCGTTGTTTCTGCAGACCTAAGTAGATGACTTTCATTTTTAAGTTAATGAAAGACCACTGCAGACATGTCACGTTATAATTTAATGAGCCAATAGTCTTATCTGCAACATTAAGTAGACTCCATCCAGCAATCTGAATGATCTGAAAAAAACCCTGTAGAAAGGCATCCAAACTATATTCACAGTTTCAACTCTGAGGTTTGAAAATATCAAGCTTTAATTCTACTTTAAATGCATATTTTTCTCAAGTCTGACAACTCATACGACTCTGCTTAATGCCCAAAAAGCAACTCCAACATAAACTTTTTAGAGGCTTCATGTACCTAAATGTCAAGGCTTGCTCAGATACCTGAACCTACATAAGTGTTTTGGTACACTACAATTTTAGTAAACTCTTTACTCCATCATCATGACACATATTGATTACATGTTCAATTAAAGTACTGGTAAATAACTTAATTGTTTAAAGCTTTCTTTAAATTTTTTATCTCCCTAAGAGGAAAACAAGAAAGGACAGAGACCTTATTGGACACAGCATTTTAGGAGGAATTCAGCATTGCTACATCCACATGCTGCCACCCCATCCTCTTTTACATGTATTATTCTCAATTTAAGCAGCATTCAGGCAATAAACCCATTCTGAGTTCCAGAAGGCAGGACTAAACTATACACTAATCCTGGTGTAAAACCACTCAGCCATCAAATTTACTAGTGTAATGCATTTTAATATGGGAAGCACATTTTAAATTAGAACAAGATTGCATACTTGCAGACACCCTACTATGCAAAAATAGATTGTATTATCAGAACAAATTACTGTATTTTGCTACCCCACACAAAATGCAAGCAAATAACTAGAGGTGCATATCTTTTCTTCTACAGAACATTCTGCAATTCAGATTCAAGATTTATTGGGAATTTGCAGGGAAGAAGGGAAGAAGGAGTTGCACCCTGCTAGTTAAGTAAGCCCAAATACGAAAGGTCAGAAATTAACTTTCAATTGATTTGCAGGATGATTAAATATAATTAGCAACTTTAGTGCTTCTATTTTAGCAACATGAAATAAAATACATTCAAATGTTTTTCCTTTAATAATCAGAAATGTAAACATTAACTACTGACACTTGTTTAGGCTGGCTATTCAGAACGGAAATTGGTTTTAACCAAGTTTGGGGGCATTGGGGAAAACAGGAAAAGATGTGACAAAGCTGTCATCAAGTCAGTCTGGAAAAGATTAGAGAATATTCCACTACTTCAGTTACTGATCTATTTATTTCTTTTGCTGAAGTACTGTCATTTTTTGCCAGACTTTTTTTTTTCCTAGGGGACATCTCAAAAGTCCATAGTACCACTTAGCTTAAGGGACAAACAGTGAGAACCTTACAAGACTGTCTCCCTTCCAAATGTAGTCTTAATGTTAAACTAAAACTAGTACTAAAAAGATATCTAATAATAGAAATAAGTTTGCTTCAACTTTCCTTTCAGCCTCACACTAGCTTTTTTGTTTTGCTATTTCTTTTGCCATCCCTTGTGAAAAATAAAACTTTAAAGCCTTGTACCTTGCTACAGATTCCTCACATCATCCAGCAGAAGCACATATACAAACTTCTGCCAAGAGTCAGCATACCACCTTCACATCCAAGTTCAGTACAGGGATGCTTCAGCAGCACACAGTGAAGAAAGGAGAGCATTCCCATAAAACAAGTTATTTTGTGCTGGAACCACCAGGCAGAGTAACAACTTGTGAGAAATAGAAGACAAGATACTGTTTCGATACAAGATAGCATGATGCAAGTAACTTGGCAAGCCTTGAGGGACAAGTCTCTGTACAACAACAGTTAGAAATAAAACACTGTTAGAGCTTCTTTACTTAAGCTATTTAAGCTATTCCTTAGTTTGCTTAAATAGCTTAAGTAAAGAAGCTCTAACAGTGTTTTATTTCTAAGGAAAAAATACTTTGATAAACCCAGCCAATCCACTCTTTTGCTGTAGAAAGTAATTTTCCCACAGTCCCCACGTGAAAAAAACAAACGCCTTGTAAAGGCAGTGAGGTCCTATGAAAGTTTTAGTCCTTGTATATTTAGTAAGACACAGGAATTAAACAATATTAAAAACTCACTGAAACATGCATCATCAAACAGGCTGTGTCTAAATCCACACACTCTGATAAAGTAGCACTGACAAAGCCACCACTTAGACTAGCCCACAGCACTCTTGTTAGTAATTAATAGCTTCATTCTTTTACATTAAGGAAAAATATCCTACAAGTTCAATTAGCACCAGTTGCATTTTTATTCTCAAAACGCATGCAGTACTGTATGGACTCAAATACTGCTGTTCATTTAGCCTAGCAGCTCCATCTGCTCGCTTCAATGACAGAGTATGAGGAAAGAGTTAAAGCTTCACAGTAAATAAATCAGGATGCTTTATCTGCCCTGTCACCATGATGAGGTTCAAGCGACATGATTTAACTTCAGTGCAACCTAAACAGAACTTGAAATTTATGAGTGGCCTGTAAGCAATTAATACTTTCCTGACATGCCCCAACTCACAGGCATGGAAGATGAGCAAGGCTTCCTGCATTACAGCTGCTCCATCACCAGAAGCTGCTCCATGAACCAGAAAAGTTATTCTGCAATAGAGTGGTAACTCCAGAACAGTTATTTTACCAAGTACTAAAAATAATTGCAAATTACCCCCCACAAAAAAAAAAATAAATATTAGTTTGTATCTTCCTGCTATAAAGAGAGAGACTACCAGCTAAGGTATTTCTTCCTTTCCCAGAATTCAGAAGGGACTCTGTCTAATGTCCCCATTCTCAATAGCTATCAAAGCTAAGCAATATTCTAAGAGATTACTTTTATTCTTTCTTCTCACTGCATTTTCAGGGAGGAAAGCCCTCCTCAATTACCATTTACACTATTCCACTCCAGAGGCTTTGAGATTATGACCAACACTAAGCAAATTCAGTCTGTTATGTTTGTTACTTTCAGGTGCAAATGGCAGGAATATTTTAAACAACAGGCAATCATTCTTCAAAAACCCCTGAAGCATGCATTGAGCCCAGCATATTACTTAGTCCCTAGCAGCTTTCCAGCAGAAGATTATGGAACAGTTTCTAAAACAGCATTAGGTGCATTTGATAGAAGAAACCACATTTTTAGTTTATACGAGGACTAAATATTTTCCATTTCTATTTCATATGTAATGCAATATTTACTGGATTCAAAGTAAACAGATTGGCCTATGTAAATATGTCACAAGGTCAAGCAGTTCATAAGGAACCATTTCTCCTGCCCCAATCCTAATTGTGAAATAACAGTTTTGTAGATAGACATTACTACAAGTTGTTGCCTAACAAAATCAACTACTTGTCTACAGCAAAAAAATCCCAAACATTTACTAAGTGCTGTGGTATTTCCTTGTGCTTCTTGGCCATTTTGCTTGCATCTTGGTAATCTGTTTTTTCCTTTAGAGCTGCAAAATTATGGAGAGGGTAACTGAATTGGGCTCTAATCCTCTCTACAATATTCAAGGAAAGAAGCCTTTAATTTAAGCATGTCTTGCTGATGCATTCCCTGCTACTGAACAATGAGCCAAACAAGCTTGTTATTTCTCAATACCAAAAAACAACTGCAAAACTAGCAATTAATTCATTTGCCTACAAAGGACTAAGACACATTCATGATCGCGAAATTAAAGCTTCCATGCTCTGCTACTGCTCAGGTGTATATTTGACTTTTTTTTTTTTTTGAGTAGCAAGTTAGACCAGATGACCTCCAGAAGTTCCTTCCAGCCTAAGTTACTCTGTTACACAATTCTAGTGTATTTTTTAAAAGTACTCTTACAAATCAATGCATTTAGGTTTTCATAAACACAGAGAAGTACATGAGATCAGCACTTATAAGTCACTTGATGTAGTGCTCATCTTCCACGGGTTTATAACACAAGGTATAGATAGAAGCAGTAAAGCCTTTGGTGATTCTCAACCTTCTTCAAGTTGGTGCCCCACAGCCCCATTTATACTTCAGAGCAGGCCACTCACTATTTCTGTGATTAGATTCATCATTTTCAAGAATTAGTTCGATAATCAAAACTTGTTTCCACTGCTCACCATAATGACTTGTAAAGCAATTCTGCATTTCAGCATAAAATATTAGCTTAATAGTCCTCAGACTGCTAGTCCAACTGTATTTCTCCCCACATAAGTCTACCGAGGCCAGCAATGACTGAATTCCACCCCAGCCAGAGATGACACCTCAAGCCTGAGTTTATGGACAACACAACATATAGTGCTCCCCTGGTGCCCTCAGGATGGCAGCAATTCCTGCCAATTTTGAGGCAGGCCTTCCCATTGTAGGGAAGCTCACAGATGTGTCCCTGCCTGAGAAGTTTCAGACTAATTCTGCTCAGTTAAGAGAGTACCCTTCAGTGTCTGTAGTTTTTGCTGTATCATCTGCCAAACCTATGAGGAGTGCACATCATGGCAATTTAGTGCCATCACCTTATACAGGTAAGAGAATGTCAGTCAGGTATTTCTCTCACAGGTTGCTTTTGCTAAAATATAAGATCCTGTCTTATGCAGAGGCATTTTAGTCTAAGAGTGGACTAGTTTTGGGAGCTAGTTATTGTTACTTATAGAAGCTGTCTCCCATGGAGTGGAGTTACCCTGCAGAGATTCCTTCAAGCCAGTTTCCAGACCTATGCCACTCATCAGGACAGCTGCAGAGCACTCCTTAGCAAGTGGGTTTCCTCCTGTCTACCAACACTGTTTTCAGCTTAATCTGAAGTTGTTAACAGGGACTCGAAATAAAGAGCATTATTCCAAAAATACAATTCTAAGCAGATTCTAAGACTCCATAGATATAAAGCAATATTCTGCAATAGAATTTAAAGATTCTACAAATCCTCCAGCAAGGGGAGCAGATGGCCTTTCTAAACTTTTTGTCTGTTTGAGAACATCTCTACAGGAAAGCTGGGGAGGGACTTTTTGCAAGGGCATGTAGTGATCAAACGAGTAGTAATGGTTTTAAGCTAGAAGACGGCAGACGTAGGTTACACATTAGGAAGAAATTATTCAGTGTGAGGGTGGTGAGACACTGGCACAGGTTGCCCAGGGTGGTTGTGGCTGCCCCATCCCTGGAAGTGTTCAAGGTCAGGTTGGATGGGGCTTGGAGCAACCTGGTCTGGTGGGAGGTGTCCCTGCCCATGCACAAGGGTTGCAACTACACAATCTTTAAGGTTCCTTCCAACCCAAACTGTTCTATGATTCTATGCTCTTTAAAGAAAGAGAGAAACAATTATGTTTGCTATTTCACTAAGGTCCACAGTGTCAGGAAGTGAAAAAAAAATAATTATTCCAGGTTACCAGGACAGTTAGCTTCATGAAGGCCTTCAATTGTTTTAAGCATGCCCAGAAGAGAAAGCAGCAGCATGTTTAACAAAATTTCCAGATAATGCCCAGTATGGAACATGAATACCTCTTCCCTCTCTTTGCTCCCAACCCAGCCACTGATAACTGTTTCCTTACATTAACAGAGTCCAGTATCTAGTAATCTAGGCAAATCTTAGAGCCAAAGATAATCAAGATCAAGTGTCCCAACTGCCTCACTGTGGACTTCAGGGACTAAAAAAACCCCAAATACAGGCCATTTTACCAACAGTCAGCGATGCAGAACACACCAAGTTAACTCACCTTAAAAAATGCAAACCACTTGTAGTCATTTATCACAATTTCAAAGCCTTGATTGTAAATCAAAGTGAAGAAACCATGGTTGCCGAGACTATCCTGAGCTACATCTAACTTCTGAAGATTCACAAGCACCTTTCTTTCCACAGGTCCTGCAAGAAAGGGAAACATTATTGCATTATTATTCTGTGCAAGTGAGAAAAATAAATTAGTACAAAGAATCTTTAACATTTATTTTATTCCAAGAACTGCTAAAATACGCTTGTTGAATACAGTCTTCTGCAAAAAGGCATCAAGCAAAAACTTCAGGGACTTCACTTACCTGTCAGTGGGCCTACATGTTCTTTTTTTCCCACTGCTCGCCAGTATTTGCACATTTAATTAGCAGCAGCACCAAACAGCTGTTACTGAGAAATTTTAACTTTTCTAAACGTAATTTGCTTTACACAGGACTTGGATGCTGTATCACCCAGGCACTGTGTCTGAAACGCCAAATCTTCCCATAAAACACCTGGGATAAGGTTCCAGCCACCCCATCTCCCTCACACCAGCACTCTCACCCCCTCCACCACTCACCCCCACTGCTCCTGCTGCCACTTGTCGGATCAAAACGCAATGATTTAGAAAAACACTACTAACATACAATAACTAAATAATAATTCCACACTACTATTATCCCCTCTTAGTTCTATCTCTCTTTCTTCTCATGCTACCAGTCTCCTCAGGCAGGAAAGCTCTCGTAGCTGGGGCCTACCAGGAGCTGCTCAGGTGTGACCCAGCAGCAGCTCCACGCTCGGGGACAGTCGGGTGAGGACAGGCTGAGCTGAGGAGGAGGA